CAATCGTCAATTCGTCAAATCAAAAATTGCTTGACGAAAGGTTTCGTCATTCGTCAATGACAAAGCATTAATGGTTTGTTTGATTTTCCAGTTGCCGATCTTGTCCGGATACTTATGTCAGTTCGGTGTAAAAGCATACTGTTCTCGGAGAAGCAAAAAATCGCGCATTTACATGTAAATTGTATTTTCAAATTTATATTCAGAATACATGTATAAAGTATGTCAAAAAATAAACAAATATAAAACAATTTTCAGCATCTTCTCTTTCATTGTTTCCGTCAACAACAACAAATATATCAGTAAATGATACTAATGCTCAAACTCCCTCAATAAACACGACAACAAACAGAGCTAGTCCAAAGAGATATGATAATTCCAGAAGCAAACTTTAAAATTAGAGTGGGCGCTTAATTATTGAGAAGCATCACATAATTTAGCAATTTTTTTTCTTCATCTTTTAAAGCAAAAAATACAGATGAGAAATAGCAACTGATGTTTTATTGACTCTTTTCAATAACGGTTTTAAGAATACAAGAAGCTGAAAACATTCCTTGTGAAAAATGCTCTAATCCTTTTTGATAAAATACGATTTTTAGAAAGCCTGCAAGATAATATACAATACGCAAAAATTCTAGGCTTTATTTACCATTTCGGGAATTATCGAGCTTTGCAATACATGTATTACCAACAACTGGAATTCCTCAAGCACAATTTATTCTTGCTCGTTGTTATGAAAATGGGGAAAGAACAATCAAAGATGAACAAAAAGCATTCGTATGGACTTTGAAAGCAGCAGAGTCCGGATACCCTGAAGCGTGATTTAATTTAGTTATGAAAGAGATTCACGTACAAAAGAATTGGAAACCCATTTATTTGACTATCTTTTAAAACTCTAAAAACGTAAAAACGGGAAGTTTCGTTCATTTATTTTTCGACTTGGACAATGTTATGAATACGGAGAAGGAACCGTTAAAAAAAATGATAATGAAACATTTGATTGGTATTAAGAGCAGCGAGTATGGACACAATAAAGCTCAATTCAACGTTGGTAAATTTTATCAATATGGAATAGTTGTTTCAAAAATCTCGATTTAGCTTTAAATTGGTATCAAAAGGCTAAAGAAAATGGACACGATCGAGCTGAAGAAAAGATTAAATCTTTAGGAATTTATTCAAATTGATTATAAAATATTTCTTTTTAGTTTTTCAACTTTAGAATAGCAAAATTGAAATTCTTTTATATTCTTTCCATGTTTTTGTTGTCTGAGTTTCATTCATTATTTTAAATTACTCATTTGAGAATAGAAAAATATAAAACAAGCTTTGTGAACTTTTATATACTGTATATGAATTATTTAAAGCATAGATTGTTAAGATAAAAACAAAACTTCTTTATGTATTGAACATTAACACTTTAAAAATCTGAAAGTTATGTTCATTCAATATTTCTGCAAGCATAAATTAAATCTTGTTCATGTAAAGTCATGAAAAGCTTGATTGTCAGGAATCATGGATAGAGATAAATTATTGAACTCTGCAAAGCAATCGCTTTGAATTGACAAAAGATGATTAAACAGAAAAAAATCTAGACAAAATTTATTGAGTTAGAACGATTAACTTCAAATCGTCTTCCGATAAACAATATGCTAAAATTTGCTATTTTAATTTTCTAACACTATTTCTAGTTGCGCATTGATTCTCACAAGATAACAAGGTTATGTTTAGATTGAATGATTTACAAGTAAGGGATTTATCTTTAAGAATTCTATAGGTCTCCTGTGATAATTTCTATGAAATTAATCTAAAACATGGTAAGCATAGTTTCAAATAACGTTTCTGCCCACTAAACTACAAAGTTATTTTTATTTATTATAATGCATTTTGAGTAGGGCATCTAAACTTCTGGTTTGAAAGTGATTTGCGTTATTCCAGAGGTTCAATATCAAGGATTAGTAAGCTATATACACAAACAAATGCATGTATACAAAAGAAATCAAATACAGAAAAGAAAATATGCAAGAAATAATATAATACCAGCACGCTGTTCACGTTCATATGTGAGCGTGAGTAAGCATGGACTGACACTATAAATATATTTAGTTTATAATCTCTTTTTCATTAATATTATACTGTATTTCAAAATAATTTCACTTTATTGATATTAGTATGTATAGTCTATTATTATTTTATACACCTTTTAACAGTCTATTCGCAAAAAACGCTTAACATTACAAGATTATTAGTAATGTACGAATATTCTTATTCATCATATACTTTTTGCTTGCCCACTCACTCTTACCCACTTTCGCTCATTCGTTCTCATTCTCAATTATCTATCCTATTAATATCACATTTCTACTTGAATGAATTTATCGATTACTTATTATTTATATTCCTCGCCTTTTCTCTTTTACTCTGTCTAAAATTTTTCACAGGCTTACGTTAGACCACCAGTTGCTGAAAGTATAGATTATACGTGCTCTACCATTTGATGACATTCAAGACTGTATATATATTATATTCTCCTCTTCTGCTGTAACATCACTATTGATTAAACTTAGTTTAGTCTTACAATAATAAACCAAGCAATCATGCTGCTGATTCATGATGAATTCTCTGTTGTAGCTTTCAATTTTTTTAAATTATCGTCATAAAATCAACCAACACTACAAAATTCATAACTGGTCAAAGAAGCCAAAGGTTAGAACAAATTGTGCAAGAAATTATAATGGCAACGATTATTAGGGATAATATTTTGCGCATATGTGAGCATGTGAGAAATGAATTTGCTTTGACACAGCATTTGCCATTACTTTTCATGAGTCAGTTGAGTTGTATGTATTTGAAGTTATGCTGCCATTAGGTGCAAGCTGGAGAATGAAAGCTCTTAATGGACATATTGTTAGTCAGTAGCATATTTCTATAACTTATGGACGTTCTTCTCCGTCACCTAAAAAAAACTCTACCTCATGAGGTATTTTGTGTGGTGAATAGAATATATGAATTAAAATTGAAAGCCGCAGCATTGATTGGAAGGTTCTACTATGCATCTTAGGTAGAATATACTGTGTGTTATATAGCCTTCGATTTTTACTGCTGCTCATTGCACATCATATATTTGTAAATTCTGTTCCGTATTAAACGGTTATGGCGTTGAAATAGACCAAATTATTATTGGTTAAAAACCAATCGTTTCTCTTTGATTTTTAAACGAAGTATGAACAGTACGATCGTTTTTAAATTAAACGACGCGAATGACAACAAATTAGTCTTGACAAATGAAACACAACTAATAAACGCGTTCAACGATCAAATTCTAATGAATTGAGTTGAGAATGAGTTACATGTTTGCGGCATATTTGCGCGTTAACAAAATAATACAAGTTACGTAATCTTTCTATTTTATCTAAATTAGTAGTCATGAAATTTTACAGATTTCTATAAGAATAAAGTTGTGCCTTTTTGGAGTTCTATAATAATGCGCTAGGTCGGGTCTACCTCAACAGTCCGACACTCAACATCCCGACAATCCAACATTCCGACTGTCCAACATCCCAACGATCCAACATCCCGACTGCTAACATCCCGACAACTCATACCAAATTTCCAGACATAAACCAGAAATTACCTGGCTTTTTTGAAAGTTATCGGGAAGTTGGGTTGTCGGGAGGTTGGATTGTCGGGATGTTGGACTGTTGGGATGTTGAATTGTCGGGAAGATGGGGTGTCAGGATGTTAGTATGATGGGTGTCGGAATGTTGGGCTGGATCAATAGAACTTAACACAGCGTCACATGTAAAATATGGTGGCCGGATAGATTTGCCGGGAATTCAATATTTGATTTTACATATTAACGTTATAATGCAAATACATATGTATCGAGAGATAATAGTTTTTCTTTATAATGTATTGATTTAACATAGTTTATCCTGCCTGTCTTAAATTTTTTGTATACTTCGCTTTAAATAATTTTACATAAATTTAAATTCCGCTTTTACAATCATCAAGCTTTATACATGTACATGTATAACGATCCACGAACTTTTGAAAACTCCCTGACTACAATAAAAAGCATTTATTTATAACGATTTTCTATTTAACGTTCACAATTGTTACGGGTTTTGCGTAACGGTTAATTTTGGAAGAAATTAGGCGTTCGAGGTCTAATGCTGTGTCGATATCTTTATGGGTATTGGGTATGTGGGATTTTAAAGGGATTTCACGGGTTAGAAGGTGATGCAGATAATTACGATTTAAATAGTCTTTTAATTTAATTATCAAGTCCTAACTTGTTTTTTATAGACAAAAGCCCTAAACTCTTAATATTCCTTTAATCAGTTTAATCACGATAGTACATATATTCATACAGGATAAAGGGACCTAACCATTAATCAATTTCACGGGTACGATGCGGGTTTCAACTAAGTATATAAAGAATGTTTTATTTTAAAGCAAATTATCTTAATTAAGGCTTTACAAAAGCATACCTCTTATAATATCTTTTTGTTATTCTATATATACATTTTTTTTTGTTTTTTTATAAGATATTTTATTAAAGATAATATTAGAGATTGAGGAAATTATATTAGCGTTAGATATATTATTAAAGATTTTAAAAAACAAAATGCACTAAAAACGGAGATAATCATTACACGAATATAATGCATCCGGACTATGGGGTCGGAACAGGTCGAGATTACTTGGTACATGTAACATTATACATGCAGCGATTTTTTTGAGCCTGAGCCGATCTATCTTTATATAGAGCTTTGACTATGTTAACCAAATACATGTACATGTACTGGATTCTTTGTTCGTCAACTTTTTACTATCATTTTAAAAGAGTCTAATTTAAGAAAGAATTCAATTACATGCAGTTTCTCATGTGATACACATTTTTTTCAGGTAATAAAGCGAATCATGTGCAACGTTTTCGTGCAGATTCGTTTTCTCACAAATACCCCCGAATTTTTTATTCTCGGAATTCTTAACTTTTCAAGATGAATGCTAGTCTAACTTCTGCGGATGACTATGTACCAACACAGGATGTTTTCGATTCCTTCATTAACGGATTCGTGCCAATTTGCGTGGTTTTCCTTGGAACTTTGCGTGGAAAACAATTAGATATTGAGCCTCATCTACCGGCAAATAAGAACGAAGGTCATTCAGAATCTAAGCAGTCAAAAAAAGTAATAACGTTAAAGACAGCGTTGGATACATTAGATTTCATATTAATTGTAGGTTTTATATTCATCAGCCCAGGGTTACACTTCTTCATATTCGATGACATCTCTCATTTGTGGCTATTCAAACTCTGTTATTTTATTTTTGTCGGTGGCGGCTTCATCATCTCTGTAGTAATAGTTGGGGTCACCAAATCTATATGTGGTTGGTATAATCTCCCTTATTGTATGTTTACATTTGCTAGTTCCTACATTCTTTTCGGATTGGAATATACACAACTTGCGCAATTATATAATGCTCCAGCTATGATTACTTTTATCAGTATTTCATTTATTTTTTCTATATTGATGGCATTACTTCAGGTTACAAAGATGTTCTTTTATCCGCTATCTACAATAATAATTCATAGCTTTATTTTTGCCTCCTTATACACAAGTAATTATTATCACACAAAAACTCTTCTCGCTTTAGCAGTCATTGCTTTAACGAGATTTTCAGATCCGACGTCTCAAGCTTATATACTTTCCAAAAAATATTCAGATCCTTAATTCATTGCCTTCTTATCCTCTTTCTATTCGCTTATTTTGTTCTTGGTTGCGTTGGAGAAAAAACATAATATTTGTCATACAACTCATCATCCATTTACATTACCCGAAAGTACGTATAGAGCAGTTATAAATGACTATTTAAATTTCATATATGATCCGAATTTTTCAAAACAAAAATCATTCAGTTTTAGAAGAATAGAATTTATCAGTAATTCGATATCGGTATTATTTTTTAATGGCGAGTGAATACTATAATTAGAAAGTTAGTTCGGTAAAGTTATTTAAATTGTTCATTGAGAGAAACATTTTTTGTGACGCATTATTTTTTGTATTATCTGTCATAGTTTGTGACATAGTCATGAAGTTAGAATAAATTGAGTATCAATAATAGAACTTCATATTAATGATAATGATAAAGATAAATTATTTTCTTTTATCAAAGTTTCATTAAAGTTTCATTAATACAGTCTCTTGTAATCAACTTGAAAAGTTTTTGTGATCTTTTAATTCAGATATGCTTAAATTAGAATATACATGTAATTATTATTAATTATATTATAAAAATCTTAACAAATTGCTTATAATATTTAAATAAACACAATATTTTATTTAAAATTCAATCTAACCTTTTAATTATATTAAAATTTATAATAAATTATCTTTATTGTATTATTATAATTTTATAAAAAATTTTGATATTTATTTATAATTAAATTATTATAAAAGTTTATTCTGCAATATTATATTAAATTAAACAAGAAAGATTAGTTTAAATTCAAAAAATAATAATATTCATCTTTCAAAATTCTAATATTCTAATTATTCAACTTTTAAATAATCTAATTTTTCAAAATTTAATATTTTGATGATTTAATATTCTAATACTTTTAACTTTCTGATAATTTAATTTTTTAATAATTTTACTAGAATATTAAATTATTAAAAAGTTTAATTATCAGAATATTAAATTATTAAAATTTTAAATTATCAAAATTTTAAATTTTAAAAAGATAAATATTATAAATATTAATTATTAGATAAGTATATAAAATTTAGTTATTTTTTATCTTTTGTTTTAATTTTATTTATATAATAATAATTTAATAAAAATTAAATTAATTAATTAATTATTAATATAAAATAATAATAATAATAATAATAATAATAATAATAATAATAATAATAATAATAATAATAATAATAATAAT